CTATCATGTATTATAGTATACTTAAGATCATATTATTATGTATTCTTATATTATTTAAAATATTTTTAAAAATGTACCTAGCTGTTAATTGATCGGTACAGTCGTACGTTGTCCTTACATAATATATAGATAATCGTTTTGGTAGGTCGCATACTAAACGCGCTGCTTACGAATTGCGTCCCGTATAAAAAGGTATATAAAGGTATAATACTAATTGCGTCCCAGGTTTTTCTTGAGCACGTCTGAATTGCGTCCCTATTACCTGTAATATCTTAAAAATCGAAATTATTGGTTATTGTCAATTTATTATAGATTTAATAAAAACGACTATGTTTAAACTTTGATAATTTTATAGTGAGTTACGTTCGGTAGACAAACACAATTACTGTCGCAGTGCAGWGTAAACGGTTCACTTATTCACACTTATTCACTTTTTTTATACCAAGTTTTTAACTTTTAATATTTATGGCGAGTGAAATTAAAACTATGTTTAGCGAAAAACAAAGGGATTTATTTGTGATTGTTGTGTACAGATTTCGCTTCCACAAGTACTTAAAAAATAATTAAGAACGGTGGTGTTGTTAATATATTAAGCAAAAATAATATTTTTAACCCACATGTAGTAGTAAATATTACTACAGATAGTCCTAAGTCTGCATAAAAATGGGAAGGGAATTATTGTTTTATTTAATTCGGGACGCAATTAGTATGACCACCAAAAAAACCCGGGACGCAATTAGTATGACCTCAAAAAACACCCGGGACGCAATTCGGAAGGAATTTTTGCAGCGGGACGCAATTCGTATGCAGCCGGTTCATACCCACTAAACGAATACCATGTTTCGCATGTTTGGGTACCTACACATAACATTTTTTATATTAGCTACGATTGATGATGACTTTTAATTAGGTAGTTCAAATTCATTGTATTTGAATGTTAGTGTTCAAAAACGAATAAAATGTTTTTATTTTAAACCCACTTAATTTCTAATGTATAAGTTCTTAATATGTATATTATGAATTATTGCAAATTAAGGAAAAATATTTGTTTTTACACATAGATTAAAAAGTAAAAAATAAAAATAAAACCATATATTCTGCAAACTACCTTACTTTATTTTAGGTACTTAATAACGTCTGAGTGAAAACATTTAATGACTTGGTTTCGTGATCAAATAAATAATGTAGATCAACACGGTGATGAGGTCATCATTGTTGTCTAAAAAAAAAAAAAGAAAATGACGTGGACGAAAGCCAAGTCTTAGGAGTGCTTATTCGGTAAAAAAAATATATATATATTAGGAATTAGGATCCTTCTAAGTTTCATTATATTTACAACCTGAGAAAATACTTAGGTATGTATTTTAGAATGTAAACAAACTATTTAATGACACACAATAATATAAATTATACAATATATACACTGCGTAAATACATTATTGTGTGTTTACTATTCGAACAACATGTAATATAGAATATTTTCCTACATACAATTATTTTMTTAAATARGTATAAGTATATTTTGTTTTTCTATTATTATTATTGTTGTTATTTTTTTGTTTGCAATAAAATAAAATTACAGTGCTGCTGCCAATTTTATAGTTTTATTACGTTAAAAATATTATTGTACAGGATTTATTTTGCTGGATATAATAATATAGTTTATGTAATWATAACGTTTATAGAAATATTATTTATTATCATARATTTTACTAGATATAAAACATAAAAGTGGCGATATCATATGATTGTATAATGTGCTTCAAAATACTTTATAATCCTCATACCTTTATGGGATAATTATCATTCCTGACCAACAATATGACAGGATCTGTTCAATTAGTATATGCTTAAAATTTTTAGTGATCTGTGATCGTGATAAAGTATTATGTATATGTACCTAGATAAACAGTGGATTGAATTATTTATTGATAAAAATATTTTATATGACATGTTTTAAAAGTTAAGTGATCACAAATAATATTTTTAWAACATAAAAATAATTTAAATCGTTATTCTCCATTCCGTTTAAATAAAACTTGAATTATCTTTAAAAAAAAAAAAAAAATAGTATAAGATACTAACCACTTAAATATAGATTCATGCTTTCTCACAAAAAAAAAGATACTTAATTAAATTATTTTGTTTTTTTTTTTAAATAAAGTAAGTTGAACTAATAATTCTTTAATGACAAATAAAATATGTAAATTTTAAAATATTATTTCACATTATACTATCCACGAGCTACATTATAATTTATAAATGAATACCAAATTACTGTAAACTGGTGTGAAATGTGAATTATTTGGTGGTATATGAACGACTTATTAAACAATAGTACGCAAAATAATGACAAGTTTCAACTATCTACGATTAATATTTTTTTAATTCCAAAAAAATTATTTAAATAATTATTTTTCGTTTAAATATCCAGTTATATCAAAATTTGAACTTAAAAGGTATATGTATAAAAAAATTTTGAATCTGAATTTGTGAGATTATTGAATTTTTTTTAAGAAATAAATACGAGGAAATGTATTAGGCATATTTTTAATCCTTGACTGCTCAATTTTGAAAATTGCTTACATTTTTAACAAGGTAAAAATACCATTTGAAAATATTCGTTATTTTGTACAAATTTGAATTTTAAATGCTTATAAAAATAGTTGKTATCTTTGTATTTTCGATATTATTTAATCACGGAAGAAAGACTTATGCAGAACTTTGTWTTACATTTTGAAGCTTTTTTGACATAACAAATAAAAACTGTATCAAACGTAAATCAAAAATAAACTAAAAAGTCCTGGATCCGATCCTTGAAAAAATAGATCCAAAAAAATGTAATGATAAAAATACAAAATATCTGAATTACATACATATTGCACCTATTAAGTGAAATTCAACTTGTATTTTTCAAAAAAGACTGTGTCCATGTTTTTGGATAAAATATCTACTCAGTCCATATTATAATAATTATTATATGCTAGAGAACTCAGATCTACGAGTATAATATTCTAAATATTTTCTAACATAAACTGAAATTAATTTATACTCATTTATAATACTAATTATAACCTAACCCATATGGGTCCATCACCAATTGAATTTCTAATAGACACAAGAGTTTCTTTGTAAATTGGTTGAATATAATTTTTTCTTAGAGTGTTCCCGTGATTAGACAGCCAAAACTATTGATGTGATATAACAGAATTTCGGGGGCGTTCGTGAAATAACTCGCCACCAGCTATTGTGACCTAAACCTAATGGTGTCGTGTGGTGACCAGCTTTAAGGTTTATGCAGAACTGTGGAATTTACCTTTCGAATGGTTGTAGCCCCTGTTTACCATTGCAGGTTATTAATGTTATTATGTACCTTTGCCAAAGACGGTACAGGTGATGGGAACTTCAGGTGATRATTTTAAGATCGTCTGCAGGTGAAAACGGTGGAAGTGTACGAATAAAATGGATAACATTTTCGATAAGGTTAAATATTATAATATCGTATTGTTCAATAAAATAACTTCCCAGGCGTACAACAACTACAGAACTTGGAACGACAAAATTCTAAATATTTTCTAACGTCAACTGAATGAATTCATAAATTATAGTACTATATCGTCGGTCAAGTCGTAAAGGTCGTGAAATTTTTTTCGATTTAGGGAGCTATATATTATATGTACCTATTTGATAACGAATTATTATTATTCAAGACAGTTATGATATGATAATACTAGAACTCGTTAAGGTATAGAATTCAGAGATATATTGTAATGATCATAATATGTTCTAGCGTAGGTAACGCTACGTTATGTATTTTCCGCGATCGGACGACTATAGGAGAATGTCGAGGGCGCGAGCGAAATAACTCGCCATTCCGTGACCTACAGATCGCGATGTCGTGTCGTGACCCGTAGCAGCGTTTATACAGACCGACGTCAATTACCTGCAAGCTCATGGAATAGCTTCTGTTTTCTGGGTACTTATTATACACTTTTGGTGGATTCGGTGGTGGTGGTGGTGGAAATGTCAGGCGATCCGTACGGAGGCGGACGCGAATAAAACGCCAGACCGACGTGCTTGCATATTATTATTATTATTATTTTGTTACCACCACCGCCATGGCGAAATGCGCTGCGACCCAAAAATAAATTTYGTGTGTGGGTCAGTCCGCCGTCATCRGTCCGCGCACCCAAACGTTTGGACCCGTTCCCGCCAAGTCCCCGCCGGCACGCGGTATCGCGCGAGTCTCACTCGGGCCACAAGGGACGGCCGTGGCGTTCACATCGTACTGCAGTTTTTCATTTTTTGCGTGTACAGACATGGCTGCAGGTCGACTGGTCGGTGACGGCCCGGCCGGAGTTCGGTCGCAATAACAACGTTCGCACACTTCATTTGCATCATTGTCTTCATGACCCCGTAACAATAATTTAATTATTTTTATTATTATGGGAAACAAATGCTGCAAAAATCAGTCGTCCACGTACAGTAGCGCGAACGCGACCATCAGATCGTTCTCGTCGTATAACTCTTCGATCCTCCGGTAAGTGAGATCCGCGGATGCACCGCGGTGCAGGTTTTGCATTCCAAGATGTCACGATTTCGGCGCGAGACATCGGCGACCGCTACAACCCGTCTACCACCAACCCGATATCGATATACGAGAAATGAATAAATATTTTTTTGGAATTTCCACACCAGTTAACTTAAGGTTTATATTTCACATGAGAGTTTATACACACATTTAATGCCGTTTTCACCGTTTTCACCGTTGTAATATTATATAATATAGTACATAAACTTTTTAATATTTTAAAATCGTAAAAGAAGAATATTATTATCTTTTTTTAAAGGCCCAAAATGAGAATCAGTTATAAATTAAAATTCACTATAGTTTAATCACAGTATTTTATTCAACACAGTTCTTTAGAATATCAATATGATTTGCATACAGATATCAGACATTGAGTTACAAGCTTATTRAATGTTTTTATGTGTGTACTATACCTATATATAGTCATTTTTGGATCCGAAATTAAACAGAAAAAGGTTTTTTGTAAAAACGACGTTTGTTTTGAATTGTATATTTGTGATAGATATTCTATAATTTTCTCTTAAATAATCTAGATATTGTATATTATTTGTTTTGAGGTTGGAAATTATTATGATTGTTCTTACTTGCCTATCTGTACTTGAAAGATCAGATTTGAAAAAGTCTTTGTTATTTTTTGAAAAAATGTATGACGTCACGTCGTTTATACGTCCACAAGACACTCTACAAGTTCTAAGCTTAAAAAAAATTCTTTTTTTTTTATTAGTTTGAAATCAAAACGAATAAATATTTAACTCCAGACGCTATATCGCCTGCACTTGTTTGACTGCCTTAACATATTTATTTGTAGATCGCGAGTAGTGAAAATATACGATTTATAACCTAAAGTGCAGACAGAAATATAATTCCAACGACCTATGCACGACAACAGCTCTGCACCAACGCGTAACGTCTGTTAACTGTTTATGACCAACGCCAGAAAAAAAATCAGTTGATTCGATGCAACAACTGCCTTCAAAGTGACAGATAGATGGTCGTAATAACTTTATTATATTATATTGCTTCTGATGGATCCTTTTTTTTGTGTCATAAGAAACTAACTTTTTTGATCAAATTTTCACAAATCACTCAGCGTTTAGATTCTGTGAAATAAGAAAAATATATTGGATTTTTATATTATTTTGTTTTCTGTGACCACTACTGTGCACTAATACTACATTGTTAGTTAAAACAGTGGATGAAAATTTGGAACTTAAAAGTTATAGTTAATCGACTTTCATCGAATATAATTATAATTTGACAGTTTCTGGACTCTTTTTAAATATCACTTTATTTCATATTCGCAAATTCAGTTAGTTTAATTTTATATACAACAGGAATGGTTGATTTACTCCACATATTTTTACTTTCAATACTCTGTAAATCATTAGTTTAGGGTTAAAAAGTTATAAATTTATCTACTCATATTGAATATTATAAAGTAAACAGTTTAAAAAAATATTCAGTTACGAATTACGTAAGTCTACAGATGTGAAACTAAACGAATGCTGAAAATCCTAAAATTCAAAAAAACAGAAAAAATATTATTATATTATTTTTTAAATCAACAGAAAAAAAGTTTGTTTTTGGTAGATTTATTTGAAACCATACTAGGAATTTTAATTTACATTCGTACTAGATTTTACCAGCTGAACTTTTAGTTATACATATTATATTCCAATGCGATGTAATTAATTCAAAACGACTCAACATATATTTTGTAGAGAGTATTTTGATGCAAAATCTTCATTCGCTATAACGCTGCAGTAAAATAATATTATCGTAAACATTAATTACTCATTTCTCGATTTACGATTATGTGACACTTATTAAGTTTCATCGTTAGAGTTCGTTAGCTGGTAATCGAACACGCATTCTTAAAATGCCATTACTTTATATCTTAAGATTTTATTTTGTAATATCGATTAATCGATCTACAATAATAATATTGATTTGTTTTTATAATTATTACTTAATATTTTTATTATTTTTATCAATTAACATTATAGGTTATTAGCCTACTTTTAAGCTACATATAATTAAATACAGCCATACAGGTTATAGCTAATTGCAATTTTTATATTATTGTAGCATTCAACTTAAATTAGTTATTTAAATAAAAATCTATTGAATACTGTTTAAGAATATTATTTTAATGTTGAGTGTTTATTGTATAGATTATATTTGAGCAGTTGATCGTTATTAATTTATTCGATTGGTTTTTATTTTTATAGGTTACAATACCACTGGCTACTAGGTGTAGCACCTATATCAGTGTACACACATATTACTAATATTTAACAAAATCAGTAGATCATGTTGTTATGCTACTAATAAAAAGTAATTATCCAATTATTAAAAAGAATCATATCGTATTTATATTATACCTATTAGTACTTAATAAAAAAACACAGTTTTTATATAAGTACGTTTTCCATATCCGTTAATTATTTATATTTTACTTTGTGACTACTATACAAAAGTATTATTCGTATAATATTTTAAATGTACTTCAATAATGTGCTTATTAATATTATATAAGATATAACCATAAAACATGTCATCATAAAATGTAGTTATTAACGTATTATTAATAAACATATTAGTCATTATTTTTAAATTCGTTTATTTACAATAAGTCATAAATACGACGGCGTGATATGGATATTAGATCAATATTCATAAAAATAATTTTAACATTTATTTACATAATTGTTTCTTCATGATGAGAGCATTTCAGGACCGGAGTAGGTTCAGGCAAGTCTTTAATTTTTGTGTAATATAAATATTAAATTCAGCACAGACAAAGTTAACTATAAAAATTAAATTAAATTCATTTTTCTTTTTGATATTGAAATCACAAAATTTGTTTTCAATACTTTATATTTTAAATCTAGCTCAACCAATTACAATACGTTAGAGTATTGACAATCAATAAAATAAGTAAAAAAAWAAAAGAAAACAATAGAATAATAGTAAAATTATGTTATAAATAGCTAAAGATATGATAAATTATAYAAACAAAAAGACTCAGATAATAAAGCCAGCCTCCTAAACTTGATGTTTTATGTCTTAAATACAACTTACTTATCCCAATGTATATTTGCAGTGGATAGCATTGTAAATACTTAGAATTAAAATTAGCTATATTTTTTTGTTTTAGTGATATGGTTTAGGCAGAGCCTGATTTATCAAATATATGGCCCAAGACAAAATATGAAATTAGGCCATATAAACACAGTAAAATATGTAAATATTACATAGCTAGTGTTAGTGACAAAAATCTAGTTTCTATCCCTCATAAAAAATATGACCCTAGATTTAGGTATGTGTAAGTAATATATACAGCAGATTTTAAGCATTTAATATTCTAAGCGTTAAATCTGTAGGTTGATGTACCTACCTATGTTTTGTGCCATACACTATATGTGAATAATATTTATTGATATAATATTATTTGTTTTTACCGTACCTAAACTACCGGTAACACCCGCATTATTATTTCTGAATATTTTCTTTTTGAATATTTTACTTATGTCAATGTTATAAAATACAATCCAAGAAAATCAATTAGCTAATTACATCACTAGTCGTTTTGTTTTAACTATTGAAGGTATACGTGATGCAAAGTCGATATAGCTTATTGATACAGGAACGACACAAATAAATTTACATCTTGAAGTTCATTATTTAACATAATATAGTATCATACCTACATATTATTTTTATATAAAAAAAAAATTTAACATATCTAATTCACATATTATCTAAATTGTGTTCTAATTATTTTCTACTTCATCAAATGGAATTTATTAAAATATTTTCAAAAATCAAATTAGAACTAATATTTTTATTTGTCTATTAGAATCTGTGATATACTTGCTGTATACCTATACGATATACATTTCAAATCTTGGTAATTAGCTTGTCTAACTCGCTCAATCACAAGCTCTCAAGTCTCAAGTATTTTAACGCAATTTATTATCTTGCGTTTTGTTTTTAATTAAGTACCTACTTACTACAGTAGTGAAACGACATTCTGATGGCATATAGGTACTACAATAATTATGAAAAGTAACAGTTTATGATTATTAGAGGTATGAATTTGCACAGCATAGATGACATTCCGATTATAGTCTCTCGCCAGGCGTGTATTATAGTTGCCCTTTTGGAATTTGTGGGCATAAAAATAATATATATGTACGCGCATGACACATTAATCTCCATCTACAGAACAACGACGACGATGTTGGCTTGAAAATATTCTATTTTTAGGAAGGACGCGCAGAATCATAATAATAATTGTACCCCAGCATCGGGAATGTCTCTAATCATTGTCGGACTTGTTTAAATATTTATAAAATCCGTAAACAAATGATTCTCTTGTGGTCTCATGACAACTTGCACGATGTACGTGCTATATGTATTTTAAGTGCGTTTTTTAACTATTCAATTAATTTTTTTTATTCAATTAGGAATTTATACAAAAACATTTTTTTTCACTATTCACGTAGACAGAATTATTATAGCATCATAGTCATTCTTAATTTCGATAATATTTAAAGATCATTATTTATGTAAAAAAATTATAAAAAATATACATACAGAAAACTAATGATAGCTTATTAGTTATTACTATACTAAGTATTTTACTTAAAATGTTAAATATAAGTAAATTGAAAACTAGTACTAGTTTGCTTCCAATGTTATTGAATTGAATATTTTAAAGTAATTTCTTCAATAAATTAGGCAAATTAATTATCAATACCAAATTTTTCTTCCCTTCGAAAATGGACACCAACAAAATCAATTTTTTTTCAAATTCCTATTTGAATTTAGGTCATGATTATTATTACGTCATTTTCGTTTTTTACATTTAAACTACATAGTATACTAATAATGTAATCAAAATATAAAGTCAGATACATTTTTATAATGAAAAAGCTTACAATGTCGATGAAAAATTTATCCTAGGCCTAAATGCTAGAATGCGGCTCAAAACTATTATGATTTATATCAGTGCCTAGATAATAACTTGATTTCATTATTGACTATGTAATCAAATTTTCTAACCTTAATGTACTGCAAATATGTTATTAGACCAACAACAATGTGTACCTAGTAGTTGACATTTTAGAGGTAAAAATTAAATTTTTAAAAGATCAATTTTTTATTTTCGAAGAGCGGTTACAACCACCTGTGATAGTTATTAGTTGTTACTATACCTTTACCTACCATCTCTGTAAGATATGACATACATAATATTTTGATTCTTGTTTTTTGGCCGGACACCCGTCTGCCAAGTCGAGAATAACGGTCGTCAATTATTATTGTTGAGGTGGTCCCGCCGTCGTGACAGCTCACGTCACTTGTGATTGGTTCGGGCTACCGCGTTATTTTTAGGTTAGTTTATTTCCGTATGTGTTTCATTAACGCCACAGCGACCGGCAGTCGAAAAAATAAGTCGCACTCCGTCCCGCGATAATCATGTTGTAGGTAAATTAAGATCAAAATTGTCTATACATTATATTAATTATAATAATTATAAAATGCCAATAATATTATGGTTGACAACATTACCACGATAAAATGATTGTTTTGTTTTGGTATTTGGTGAGATTATTGTTCACGGCTTTCCGCAAGCCAAAACCGTAAGTAAATAAACACCGATTCATAAATAATAATCTACATACAAAGTTATACGTTACCAAATCGTATTTTTAATATCCTACATGCATGTCATACACATAAAGTTTTAATGCATATTGTTTTCTAATATTTGATTGTCTTTAACAATGTTGCATAGGTAACTATCATGTAAATATAGGAGTTTGTAACAATTTATAATAATTTTATTATAAAAATAATAATCGTTCTTGACCCCGCTAACAAAAATTTGAACAACGGAGCAATACTGCAAGTTTAATAGGTACCTATTTGGTTATATGTAAGAGTTTACAATAATAATATGTAAAGTTTACTGCAGATGTTGCGGAAAAAAATAATCTAACTGGCTAAGTCTTTACCTAATGCGTTTTTTAAATTTTATTTATAAATTTGTTTTGAGCATTTTTAATGGRATGTTTATCAAGCACGAAATTCAAATAAATTATTTTGGCATAAAACATTGTCCCCCGACGTAAATAAAATAGTTTAATAATATGTATAAAATTGTAAACGCGTTWTTAAAAAGGGTTTAAAAAAAAAAAAATCACATTCCATATTATTTTATTTTATAGATCGGGAGGAAGTCATGCAATCACTTTTGGAACCTCTACTCGTGGTGGTGACTCTTTGACCACCCTCACCATGAAGTCAAGTAATCATTCGGACGTTGGTAGTAAAGATTACCAGGGTGGTTCTTCGAGCACCGTGGGTCAAGAAGATTTAATTCCAATATTTTTGAGACGCCTTAACGACCTTAACATCAGAGTCGGAACCAGAACTAGACTTTTGATTGAGCTCGATGACGCTACGGATGTTCAGGTGGGTATTTTACGCTTTAAAACAAAAACAGATATACATAAAAGTATACAAAAAATTACGAATATACACTATACAGTGTATAGTATACAGGTCGTTAATATTTATTGATGTTTGTTGTTTTAGCAGTGTTTCTCAACCTTTTTGATATTACGATTACCCAAATAATAATATTTTTTCATATGGAACCCCTTTGAATATTATACATAATTTTTTTTTTCTGTTAACCCGTGGCAACATAGGCCATTGGTGATGGGGGTGATACCAGTGGCGTAGCCAGGATTTTTTTTGGGGGGGGTTTTAATAACAGAATACATTTTACCACGACCAAATGATTGTATTCCTATATTATAAACATTATATTTTTGATATAAATACGGCTGAGGGGGAGGGTTATAACCCCCCCCCCCCCTGGCTACGCCACTGGGTGATACTATAGGTTTTTTGAACGGTGGTGGAGGAAACGTGAGTATCACGTAATTTGTTATAGTTAGCAATGCTACCTATCATAGCATTAACTACCAGTGTATATGCCATGAAGTTAAAAAAAAACAAAGTAGTAACAGGAAAATTGACCAAAACACGATTAAAACGGTATCTTTAAAAACCACAAATTCTAGAATTTAAGATATAGGTACATAATCAGTACCTATACCAAAAAACATCCAGTTTTACTATTATTACAGTAATACAAAGTAAAGATATTTCAAAATCAGCCTTCTGTATATAATTTCCAACCATACCTTTTTATAAGTGATTTTTTTTGGGACAGGGATAATTGAACATATATTATTCGTAAKCAAGGCTAGAAATTAAAAATTTAATAAAATAATTTACAAATATTGAAGGTAATTTATTATACTTTATTGTAAGCAGGTCCGTTGGTATCACAACAATGTAGAAGCCAACAATGAAAGATATCAGTACATACACGAAGGAGGGTTTTATTGTTTGGACATAGTTCCGGTGACGTTGTTCGATGAAGGTCTATGGGTGTGTACCGCTCAGAACTATGCCGGAAAATCGTCAACCGCTGCTCATCTATCGTTAACCGGTGAGTATGCAGAGAAACAATTTTTCCCTAATTTTTGATCATTTAAATCCAATTTTRTAGGTAATACTGTTTTATTAAATTAAAAATACCTATTGCACATTGCATACCAAATAACATTAGTTTTAATTATTTTAACTCCCCCCATAGTAGTTTGATGCATCAGCTATTGACTTCTTCAGTATTTTATAAAACTAAATTATGTACCTATTACCTGCATTTAAAACAGTATTTAATATGAAAGTCTAATTTCTCCTAGATCTATTTTCAAAGATACACATTTTTTATTTTTATAAAATATTAGACCATTTATAATATTTTAAGTGGTAATTAGTTAATTATAACTATTATTTATTTAAATTATCTTATAGGTATTGAGTATTTTTAACAAAATATAATCATTATATTATTACAATGTTATTGTCCTATTATTTAAGGAATCCATACGTATTCAATTAAGCTAAATAAGTACGAATTAGTTACTTGAATACTTAAGAAGAATGCTTAAATCTGTATTTCATAATATTTTACTCAATGTAATGATGTTCTAAAGTTCCGAAAGCGTTCAAAAAACCAATTTTTGTCGAGCCACTAAAGGCAGTGCTGACGCAGCGTGGAATCGTCTCACTAGAGTGCAAGGTGATCGGCGTTCCGACGCCCAAGTTACGATGGTATAAAGACGATAAAGAGATCAAAGCTGGTGACATATTCGCGTTGACAGCAAATTCTGAAGAAGACTGCCTAGGCATTTACACATGTGAGGCGGCAAATGTCATGGGCACTGCGCTGTCTACGTCAAAAATACAAGTGACTCATACACCACTCGACGGAAACCACGACGCAGACAGGTATGCGTTAACGATGATAGTATCTATTAACATAGTGTACAGTGTACACGTTTGTTTCGACTGGAGAAAATGTATTTAATTTTAATTCAAATACGTTTTTCAGTCTTATACCATATGGACCACCACCGAAATTCGTAAAATTGTTAAAAAATGCTTCCGGTAAAGTCGGAAGTGTACTGTTCTTAGAATGTCAAGGTAATGCAAAAAATATATTACATTATTATACGTATATTAATCAATAATAATAAATGTTTTATTAAATACTGACAAGGAAAAAAATTAAAAAAACTTGTTTTTATATAATTATTAATTATTTAATAAAGATAAACAAAAACGTAGGTACCTAGGTATTTAAAAATTTGATTAATTTATAATATTTTAAGCTCTTTTACATAATACTTTAAAATACTGATAATTCTTCATTATCATCTAAATAAACCAATTTTTTAGTTTTAGTAAAAAAAATTTTTTTATAATTTTCATATTATATCAATGTTTTATTTCTCACTGTTTTATTTTTTTATTCCTGATAATTGACAGAGATTTACACTTGTGGCTATAATATTGTAGTTTTTTCTTTTAGTCGAAGTACCACCGTGGCCCCGAAGTATAGGATGGTACAACGACAACGGCATAGTAAGTGAAGGACCATTGTATCACCTGATAGCTGATGGCTTAGGCATGTATGGTGTGGAAATAAAATCACTCAGAGCTGATCACAATACTACTTGGAAATGTGTCGCTACTAGTTCGACGGGAGCAAAGGCTGTTACTTCCTGCGTGGTCTCGGTGTCATGTAATGTGGTTCAAAATATTGTATTTTACGCCATAAAAGTGTCTTGAATATTGTAACATTGGAACTCTATGATTTTTCTTCTCAGATCCAAAGAATTACCGGGTGCCAAGATTTTTAGAAAGCCTAAGGGCAATTATGACCGATGAAGGTTTAGTCAGCTTTGAATGTAAGGTAATCGGATACCCCACACCACAACTTTTGTGGTTCAAAGACGGCAAGCAACTTCAACCTGGGGACGTTTATGAGTTAACAGGGAGTAAATCTTTAGGTAATACATGAAATACCATTTAAATTGAATGATTATACAGATGAAACGATATTAATTTTATATCATAAAAATTTATATAATTTAGGCAGCTATTGTTGTGTTGCCCGAAACTGCATGGGTGAAACAAGCAGTCTTGCTGAACTTACAATAGAAGACATACAAAATCAATTGAACGAAAGTGAAAAACTTCAATTAACGTCAAATACACAGCCCCCACGATTTTTATTGGGACTTAAGAGTATTGAGGCTAACATAAATGAATCCTTTGTTTTTATGATCAAAGGTCAGTGAATTAAGCTCTGTTGTTAAAAATAAGAATTAAGTTAATTTAGCTAATTAAGTTATAGTAACTAAATTAAGTTTGTTTAATTGAACATTGAAATGTAATTCAATTTCTTTTAGTCACAACTGAATGTACACCTTCCATCAGTTGGTATAAAGAAGACGAACAACTAACTGAATCAAATCGATACAAATTTTCTACCGAAGACAATGGGATATATATTCTTAATATAGTGCAACTCGAAATTGACGATCAGGCTGAATGGAAGTGTGTAGCAATCAACAAGTACGGTCAAACTGCAACGTCTAGTTTCTTGAAATTAAATATTCCAAAAAATTTCAAAAGTCCCAGATTCCTCGAAGAACTGAGAATAGCGTTCTCAAACGAGGGTTCGGTTAATTTAGAATGCAAAGTACGTGCACACGAGGACATAATTTCTAAATAAGAATTGAATGTTTTCGTCGAATATAAATTAGTTGTGTCATCGTAGGTGATTGGTGTCCCGCAACCACAACTGAAATGGTTTAAAGATGGCCAAGAGCTGAATCCCGGCGACATGCACAAAATAATTTCGGGACAAAGTGGTACATGTTGTTTAGGCACTTACACTTGCCAGGCACACAACTGTATGGGAACGGTGTCTAGTTCAGCAACATTATTGACAATGGAAGGTAATATAGTGTGCTAAGCATTGCACAGTATAACTAAGACAACTGAAATAATTTCATTTTTGATCCATTGCAGATAAGTCTACGGTCAAATCATGTGCTTCGGAAGAATATTTATCCGCCGGGAATCCACTTGTTCGAAATGAATCCTTGTCGACAATTCCCGAAGAGCGGACGAGTCAAATGGAAAAATCATACACCATTGAAGAACCCGCTGACATATCATTTTCATTTGACGGCAAAGAAGTAACTGTTTCGCTTTATGAAACTCCAGACTTAACGCACGACGAAGCGTTACAAATCATTGAAATGTATGCAGATGAACTTTCTGAACATATATCAGGTATGACATAGATATATTATTTAAGGTATTAAAATATGTTATACAAATTAACAAATTTCATGTTAGACATACATATTACATATACATACACATTTTATTGATTATGTTTTATAATTTAATTTCACAGAAGACAATGTTATTGATTTGCCGTCGTTGCGAATAGTAAAAGAATCGTCGATTTCTGGCCCGGTGATGATGGAAGCTTTAGTTATAGACGTACCTGTCGATTTTTGTAGACAACAAACAGTATCAGACACTGAATTCGATGGCGTTTCGCTGACCGAAGATATAACTCTTGCAAATAACGATAAAAGTGAAAGTATATGTGAAAATAGTCTGGAATATTTTTCGGATCATTTGTCGTCTGGAAACTCGAAGCGTGAAGTATTTTACAGCGCAAGTGAAACGACGCCTAAACATTCTTCAGTGATTTTAAAACAAAAATCAGAAGACGATGGCCATCACTCTTTCCAAACACCAAAATTATTTATGTCAGACTCAGACGATCAGATTCTCACGCAATTTAAATTGGATGAAAGACTTTTAGCTACAGATTCTAGACATTTAGTCGGACCATTATCTCGGTCTGAGAGTAATAACACTGAAGAAGAAGTGTCTGATACATTGGCAGAAATAGATAATGAACCACCATTATCAAATAATGATTGCGCATCAGGAATAGCTACTCGATCTAACGAAGATGGATTATACTCAACAGTATTGAACAAAATACGAGGTAGGGGAATGGCAAGTATGATGCTTAGTTCGGAAGAAGACGAAATTTTGAAAATTATTTCCAGACCTAACGTAGGTGAATTTTTAAAATACATGAAAATTATTTTGGAAGGCACTATGGTAAAGATGCGCTCTCACGAAAATTTTAATTTCTCTAATACGACAACTGAACTTGAACGTTCAATTCAAGCACTACATTCGCTTGCGTGGAAATTCATCGAGGAAACAGAGAGAAATGATGTAACAGAGTTGGATAAGAATACTATCGATAATGTGTCAAGTTTAATGACTGCAATAAACGCGAGTTTGTTAGTGTTAGAACAAATCGATGATCCATTTGGTGTTTCAGACAATGTATTAAACGAAATACAATCATCTGTATGTTTTGATTTAGAAACGTTTAACAATAGCGATATTCCGGCCACAGTAATTTTAAACCGTTTGTCAGACCAAATAAAAAACTTCACGCTCGTTGTTAATAGACAGGTAGCCCGAGTTACAGAACAACGTATTATAGCTGTGTTACGAAACACAATCGGCACTACTTTGGAGCTTATCAAAACATTACAACAGAATTGTTCTAAAATAAAATGTGTAGATATAAATTCATTCGTACCTTTATTTTCAATGGTACAACCATTAGAAACTATTATAAATGACATAGCTAATATGGAAGAAGCATCAATAGACGATAACAAACCAAACCTCAAATTAAAACAAATATTGATACCCCCTATTAGTTCTATTGCATTTGCTTTAGACAATCTAAATAAAGCATTAAAAAATGATAGTTCAGACGACGATCCGGATTTAAAAGATATTTACGACAGAATAAATGATTCGACAATTCAATTTATGACACTAGCATCACATGGCATGGAAAGTAATAAAATAGCTGAGTGTTTCATATCGTTCACAAAACCTATTAACGATTTATGTTGTTATTTGAGACGGTTAGGCAGATCAACGGAAAATATTGTGTCTTCTGATTACGGATCTGATGATAAACTGTTATTAGATTTTGAGACACTTTTCGATGAATTGATGATAGATATTGACACATTAATCAACAATGTAAACTTTGTTCAAGATTCCGAAAATAATATGAATCCTTTAGGATCTTTATTGGAACCATTGCAAGACATGAAAATTGGTTTGTTCCAAGTTAATCAAGTTTTACTTTCGAACCAGGCTGGTTCGTCAATGAGTTTTGAAGTTATGAGTTGTTTTGAACACTTATCTCAGCAACTCGTTCAACTGAATAATTGTATTGTGAATCAATCAATAGTTGAAGAGACAGACAAAGAAATACCATTTGAATCTTCAATAAAAATGATGCAAAACATACTTTTCGATGATTCTATTGATGATTTAGGTGTAAATGGAATACTTTTTGGAAGTGTTATGAAACCTCTTTTGCAACTTCAAAATATTATTGTTTCAAAAATGGCTTCAGTAGAAAGTGATCTTAGTTTTTCAGAACATACAGATGTTACTGGTGGAGCTTGTGATACACAATCATTAAGTATATCCTTGTCACACAACGTACAAACCATTTTTGATAAAACTACAAATGATTATTCTAAACAGGTAATTATTAAATCATCGATCATAGAAAGTTCAGATGAAATTTGTGACGAGCAAAATAATATGCATAAGGGTACTTCCGAAATAGATAATGATTCAATACATTTTGAAAATAACATTAACAACGATGTAGCTATAAAAAGAGGGTTTGAATGTGATATTGGGGAAACATTCAAATACGATGAACCAAATATTATAACATCTGAAGATGATAGAGAGAATTCTGGTTTTGAAGCGCTTTTTGATGAAACTGATTTGGAAACGCCAAGTGATTTCATTGAAGATGTATGTTCGCCTATTATGAATTCTATTGTTGATCATAATTTATCAGATTTATTAATGAGTGGAAAAGATACTGATACTATGCACAAGAAAACCGATGATATACTTCCAGAACATGTATTAGAATCATTAGAAAAAATTAACCAACATGACTTAATTTTGAATTCACCGGTTGATTTATTCAATGAACTTCAAGAAACATTAAAAAATATGTCTGAAGTAGAATGTGATGGAATATCAGATATGTACAACTTGGATAATAATAAATCAAACGTGAATGATTTACAAAATATTGATTCAACATATATTAATCAAATATGCGATACAACTAACAAATTATTAGACGATTCGTTAGATCAAAACTTTGAAAATGAATACAAAAGTATTAATGATCGAAATTCTCAAGAAGAAGAACAAGTATTTGAAATAGGACAAGACTTAGATTTTGTTGAGGACTTAGAATTTTTAGACACAGATAAATCAATATCTAATAACACTATTATTACAGTCGATGAAACTTCTGATCCCAGTGAAGTTAAAATGAAAGAAATTGATAATATGAAAATAATAGAAACTTTTGTTGATATAATTGCATCTAAAACTGGAAATATTAACCAAATAGTGGGTGAATCGGATAAAAATGAAACTTCAATTACCTTTGTAGATATGTCAGATAAAAATGAATGTTTAAATACACCTGTAAATAAAGTAGTATCAAAAATAAATGACAATGTTGCGGCTTTAACGACTTCGTCTGATTTTAAAAACGAAAGTCTTGATTCTGAAATATTAAGCAAATTAAATTCCACTGAATATGGTAATGATACAGGAAATAATTCAGAAAAATCAATTTCACAAGATAATACTATCGTTAATGAAAAAGATGTTATTCATAATTTAGGAACAAATGCAACCATTCATATTGAAAAAATTAAAAATGAAAATGAATACTACACAGAAAAAGATAAACAAATTATGTTAACTGAAAAATGTACTAATACCACAGAATTAACTAAAGAGTTAATGGAAAAAAAATCATGTATGAATCCAGAAAATATTTTAATGATCGAAAATCATAATTCATCGATTATTGAAGAAACGTTGAACAAAATAAAACAATATGATAATAGTGATTTATTAAATAAAAGTATTTCCGTTGATGAAGAAAGAATAACACCTACATCCATGGTTGATATTAATTTAATACAATTCTTAAAAGATAATAATATCAAGGGCATCATTGAAGAACCAAATAGTGGAAATGAAAATTTGAGTCTTGTAGAAAGTAAATATAATGATTCTGGTAAATTTGAAACTAACCAAGATGTAAATTTGGATAAAAAATTACAACATGATTTACAACCAAGTATTAATATAACTTCTATAACTGATTATAAACAAATTGTTCCTAATTGTACTAATTGTGAAGATTTGATGAACCCCATAACAGAACTAAATGTTCCTCAAAATGAAGAAAATCTTATCAAAAATCATAAAGGTGAAAGTCAAATAATAAATGATGAACCTGCATGTAATGATCAACAAAATCCTCTTATCATTCAAAGGAATAACATTTTACAACAATCTAATAATGAAGTAAACATTTTTGGGGAATTAAAAGAGCAATGTGAAACCTTATCAGATATGGAAACGGATAATGAAATAGAATGTACTAGTGTAAAAAAAAATTTAGTGATAGAAATAAATTATCCAGAGAATGAAATTGATGTTAGAAGTGTTACCCAACAGTGTCCTATAGATAAACCAAACCATATTGACAATAAATCCATAACACAATATAACGATGGCATTAATTGTGTTGATTTTATGTTGTCTGCTATAGATATGACTCAAACGATTGGATCTAATGATATACTGGACAAGCAGTTAGTAGTAACTAATTCGAATTCTGAAGAAAATGAAAACATAGCTCCAACTAAATTAAAAAATGACGTTAACAATATTAAAGATTCAGTAAACTTGGCAATAAATGAAAAAGAAACTGCTACCAATAAGAAAATTAATATACATCCAGAAATCAAAACAACAGAAACAGTAGTGAACGATGAAGAAAAATCTAACAGTACATTGAAGACGACTTTTACCGATTTAAAACAACTTACTATTTTAAAAAATAATGACCTAGCTCCATCGGAAAATAAATTAACGAATAATAATTTAATTACTACAGAAAGTACACAACTAATTGATTCGAGTAAATTTGACGAATACCAAGTTGATATACAATTTAAAGAAAATATAGATCTCGGAAATGAACATAACGGAGTTTTGGACGATAAAGAGAACCTAATAAATAATTTAGAAAATTTAGAAACTAAAAATGAAATTATATACTTCCCAGATGAGATGGTCACTAAGGATGAAGAGAAATTGCTTAGTGAAGTTCAATACATACAAAATGATGAGACCAAATTTATTATTGAATCGGAAAATATTGTTAGTGAACAAACCAATACTTTGATATGTAATGAAACGATTTCTGAATCCAATATTCAACCAATAGATACAGCTGTAATTGACTTTGAAAATATCAAAGAAAAATATGAGAAAGAATTATGTGTTTCCCAATCTAACAATATAATAGTTTTTGAAGATAAAATCGATACTGAAGAGAAAAATAATCAGCATAATGAAGGTTTAGAACAAATTTCCAATGATAAATTAATATTTAAGTCTTTAGACGAAGATAACTTAATTTGCAGTGGGAATAAATCAGAAAAATTTTCTACAAATGATTATGTTGAAATTCATAGTTCAAAATCAATTGATGAAAAATCAAACCCCGTCGGTAGTAAAGATGATATTATGCAGAATAATTGTGAAATTCTAAAGACAATAAATAATTTTGGCACAGAAAATGTAGGAGAAAAAATATCGAGTAAATTGCAGCAGTCAAATGAAATAGAGGTTGACGTTTCTTCAACTGAGAATAACAGTTTCGTTATAACTGATATCGATTTGAAAACGACCAAATCCAACACTGAAAAAGTAGATAAAACTAAAATACTTTCTTCTGAAATTACCTGTTTACCCCATAATAATGATAAAATTGTAGATTTATATGATGCCGAAAACGACTTAGATAAATGTACTTTATTGKTTAAAGAAAATACAGAAGATCGTAATATCTGCAGTTCCATTAATACATGTATTGAAATACTAAATGAAAATACCACGAATCAACATGAAGAATTCACTGAATGCCGAACAAATATTTCAGGGAACTTTCAAACTTTAGAAACATTTTCATATGAAAAAAATCCGAAATTAGAAACAGTAAACAATGAAGAATTATTAAGTATAAATGAAAACAATTCGGAAATAAACAAAACCAGTGAACAAACCAGTCTTAAAAATTATATAGATCAAAAGCAAAGTAAAAATATAATCGATATGTGTGAATCATTGGAAAATAATAAAGTTCTGGTTAATAATGAAAAACAAACAATATCCTTATGTGACACAAAACTTGAAAATGAAAATGAAAAACTTACGGAAGATTCAGAAAATAATCAAGAAAATTCTGAAAACAGTTTTGAAAAATCATTCGATTATAAAAACAATTTAGAAAGTACAGAAAATTTAAAAAACCACGAGATAAAAACGGAAGAAATCAAAAAAGAATTCATAAATATAAAGGATCTTGAGGAATCAAAAATTAAAATAGTATCAACTATTGATCAAACTCAGGAAATTGATTATACTGAAGGTACGAAACAAAAAGAAAATCCAACTTTTGAAAAACAGTCAAATTTAGTAATCAATGAACTGAACGTGTCATTAGAGAATCCTCAATGGGAATGTTTATCTAAAAATACAGATGCTGTTAATACAAATATAAAACATTCTGATTCTAATATTTCTATTCCTGAAATAATGCAGATTAATGCTGAAGTTGATATTATAGATCAATACAAACATATTTCTAAAACGGGAACACAAAATACGACAGGTGAAAAGAATGAAAAACCAAAATATGTAATGACCAAAGATTATTCTGATGAAAATCTTAGTTGTAAAAGTAATTTACCTTTATGTGGAGTCCAAGAAACCCAAGAAAGCAATCTTATTAATGACAATAAAGAATACATACAATCCAAAATAAACGCTGATACTATAAATATCAAAGAAGATAAATCGAATAACGAAGTGAAAATTAATGTTATGGACAAAAATGCCAATCCTCCAAATGATTTTTTGTTTGAAAGTGAAATCAGTGATTTGCCTGCCGAAAAATCATTTAACGTTCTTTCTATAACGCCAAAATTGCACTGTGTTGAAAAAATTGCAATTAAGGAAACAGAATGCATRGTGTTAGAAAATACAAATATCTTGAAACAAGGTGAACTTGATTCTGTGGAAAATGTTAAACGACGTGCACTCGTGAATTGCGAATTAAATACCGCTGTTATTGGTAATATAATTATGGATTACGATAGTTTAAAAGAAAATTCATTACCTGAAGGTGAAGAAAAAATACGCACAGAAAACGCAACTCATTCCCTAACTTTTGACGTCCATCCGATTAAAATCGTGTCGACCAATGTTGATATTTTAAATGCACCTACTAAAGATTCGATTATAAAAGAGAAACAGATTATGTTTTCGGATACCATTGAAGGGTCTAAAAATTCTACAAGCTCAATAAAACTTGTAAGTGATAACAAAAATCTTGAAGCTTTGGAAATTGATAAATTTGGTGATAAAATTGAAAATAAAGTAAATTTAGCCAATGAACTAGCTGATAATTTAGGACAGACTATAAAAAATGGAAATCAAACATGTGAATTTTTAGATGATTTTGTAAAACAAAATGAGATTAAAAATTACGTTCTGATTGCGAATGATGGAGCAAAACAGGAAAATACTACTACTACAGAATTAGATAACTTGGATTCAGAAATTGCTCTAGAATATAATATAAATCCAGAAGAAATAATTAAAATGAGTACAGAAAATAAGAACATAATAACAGAAAATTATGCAGAAAAAGAAATGACAAAACTAGGAAGTAAGAAAAACAAATCAAGCACACAACCAGAAGACAAAAATTCACCATCACCTGAGACCACAAAAAGTAATATTTGTGTTACAGAAAGTAAAGTTGATGCGGCAAATGTTATCGATAAAAAAAATGAAGAAAATAACAAATCGTCGTCAGATGACAAAG